TAGACTAATAGAAACCCTGCACCTGGGATGAAAGTATCATTTCCTTCTGTTTTCTTGGAACTCTGGAAGGCTGGGCTTCTCAACAGTATCTTTTTATTTCAGGCTGTAACATTTTAAGTCAGATATTGAAAAGGGAAGCTAGATAAACTGAAAAGGCTAACTCACCCTGTTCTTAGAAGGGTGGCTAAAGGAATTGGGGAAGTTTAAGTCTGGGTAAGGAAGACTCTGAGAGTACGGGAGATTAGATTCCAAAATTTTTTCAGGGTTGTCCTATGGGAAGAGTGGATTCTTGTAAGTGAATCCTTGAGGGCAAAGGCAACCCAAATGACCTGGAGTCATATCGAAGCCATCTCAGGTTAGCGCAAGACAGGTAGGTAAGCTGTTAAAAAGGAGGACCAGGATGCCCTGGGACAGGAAAGGAAGGGTGCTTCCTACACGGGTGTTGTGACTTCTTAGGTTGGGCTATTGCACTTTATGACATGGAATGTGTCTTCTCAAATTAAAACCCTGCAATCCTGCAATTAGTCTATAACAAGAGTGATTTGCTAACCCTTGGGAATACACACACAGTTAGGTCATATTTTCTCCAAGGCAGAACTCAGGGATAGTAGTTAACATACAAATAGCCATTACCTTTAAATTCCTTAGAAACATAAGAAACAATGGCACTTAGGTCATGACCAGGATAGAAATAGATGGCCTTTAGTCTTAGATCTCTGCTGAACGATGAGAGACCATGAGCAATGCGAATCCTCTACGTGGAGACCTGGGGACTGTTTCGAGATAAAGAAACAAACAGAAGGAATACAAGGTGACCGCGGATGCCACTTCAGGTTCTTCAACATTGCACCTAGCAGCTCTGAGAGAGCAACTGAAGGCAGCCAAGTCTTTGCAAAGAGACAGAACAAACCACTCAGCCTAGATAAATGCCCCACCGTTACTGCCTGATGCCACAGATCTGGAAAGGCCACTACAACCACTAGGAAGGAGATGCACAGGCCATCAGAACGGAACAGTGGTAACAGATTCTGGCACATGTGAGCTAATTCATACGAAACAAGTAGTTAGCAAGCTGATACATACAGAATTATCCAGAGAAGAGGCCAGCAGAAGCCTGTGGGGATCAGGGTAGGGCAAAACTTTTCTAAGCTTGGTCAATACAAGGAGGACAATGGGAGAGAGGAGGAGGAAGAGGGAAAAAAAGGAGGAGGGGGAGGGGGAGGAAGAGAGAGAGGAAGAAGAAAAAGGAGGAGGTGTGTGTGGGGGGACTGACATTGTAGCCCAGACAAACTTTAAGAGGATTTTATTGGGAAAAAAAAAAATCTTCTCCCTATCGATGAAAGCCCCAGATAAAACTCTAGGCCTACAATGTATTAAAAGTTGCTTCTTCCCCCTGACCGTGGCCCCCCCCCCCACTTCCAGCATTCTCAAACATTCTTCCTGACTTCTTTCATTACTGTTCCCTTCTTTTCACTGGAGCAGACGGAGCTCTGGGGAAGCTTCCCCCTCCCCCATCACCTCAGCCCCACCAATGGGGCATTGAACGAGAGCCAGGGTGTTGTCTGTGAAAAGAGAAATTGCAAAACCACAAATAGCAGAAAACCCAGACTGCCAAAAAATGGAAAGGAACACACAATATCGCCATGCCTCTTAAAAAGCAATTGCGCATTTTACAGGCCCCTGGATAGTTCAGGTTTGCTTGGCAACTCTCTCACCCCGTACCACCCAGAGAGAAGACAGTGCTCCCTCAAAGGCAGTGGGCCCGAAGAATGGAGAGTTGAGACCCACAACGGCGGGGGCACAAGACTGAAGGAGACAGCTTGGGCTCGGCAGGATTCTATCTTCTGTGATGGTACAGCGCTGACCTTAAGGTCCAAAGTTTAACACCAGATTGCCAAGGACCCCGGAAAACAGAATCATGAAACCAAACCAAACTGAACCAACCACAAACAAACAAGCAAAAAAAAAAAACCTCATACAAATCCTTCACACATCTAATGTACTTTTAGGTGCCCCCACCCACGTAACCTTATGCGGTTATCATAATAACTTTTCAAACAGTCAGCAAAAGCCCTCTTCCTCTCTCCTCTTTGATATCCCATAATAAAAGAATGTAGAAGGTGAGGTGGCAACATTTTCAGAATCATGTCACCTCAGAGAAAGTGAAATGGACTTAACTATGAGAATCCTGATTTTCACCCTGGGTTCCTTCCATGGCCCCGCCCTATTTTCCCATGGGGCATTTCTTTTTGATTGGGTTGAGCTGTCCTCCTCCAGTGAAATTGGTAATTCCATGTTCTGTACACAGCTCCAAAACCCCATAAATGGAGCACTGATTGGGGCGGGGGTGATGGTTGTGTAGCTGGTCCTTGCTTGTGCTCCAGAGATGCTGATGACGGTGGCGACCAAAAGGAAACCAAGTAGCCACTGACTGGTGGTGTTATTTACTTATTTATATACTTTTAAAAAGATTTCTTTACTTTTTTTTTTTTTTTTTTTTTTTTTGGTTTTTGGAGACAGGGTTTTGCTGCATAGCTTTGGAGCCTGTCCTGGAACTTGCTCTGTAGACCAGGCTGGCCTCAAACTCACAGAGATTCACCTGCCTCTGCTTCTTGAGTGCTGGGATTAAAGGCGTGCACCACCACTGCCTAGCTATTTACTTTATTTTATGAGTATGAGTATTTTGCCTGTGTGTGTGTCTGTATACCAATCATGTACCTGGTTCCCAAAAGATCGGGAGAGGGCATTGGATCCCATGGAACTGGAGTTACAGATAATTGTGAGCTGCCATGTGGGTTCTGTGAACCAAACTGGGTCCTCTGCAAGGGCAGCCAGTGCTCTTAACTGCTAATCATCTCTCCAGTCTCTGTCCAACAGTTTTAATGCACTTCTGTGACTCCCTGGGTAAGACCAACTTTCTCTCAGTCTCTCAGAGAAGACTCAGGCATTGAAGAAAGATCCCCTTTGTCTGGGTATTATAAAATTCCAGTGCTGTTTCCACATTGGAATTCTTTGCATTGTGTATGATCATTATTTGCAACTTCTGTGGTGAATCAGCCAATTCCTTGTCCTCCTTCTGATCTGCAGTCTACAAGGTGCTTTAACTTAAATCTTGATAAAGAGATCTGGAGGTAACAGTCATCACTGATATGCTCATGTTTACAGGTAGTGGCACTCTCTCTGACTCACTCATAATTAATTAATAAAAATAAATCATAGAAAATATTAAACTGGGGATTGAAGAGATGGCCCAGCCATTATGAGCATGTAAGAACATGGAATGCTTTTCCAGAGAATCCAAGTTGGGTTCTCAGCACCTACATCAGGTGCTGAGAACCTGTTGGAATTTCACCTGTTGGAATTTCAGTTTCAGAGGATTTGAACCCCTCTTCTGATCTCCACGCATGCATATACACATACCCCGTCACAGATATATTATTAAATGCCCTTCACCTAATATTCACCATGAATACATGCAAACTACATTTTGGTATTTAATATTAAATCACTGAAAACACTGTAGAACTAAGCCGGCAGTGACATATGCTAAGGAGCTATTAAATATGAATACATAGGAAACTATCCACAAGGCAGTTTCTCTGGAAATGAGCTCCGTGTTCTAATGAGAGAAAAGCAACAAAAGGGGACATTTGTACACAAATGGGCTCAGGATAACACATGAAAAGGAGGACTTCTCATGAAAGTCTACTGTGGCTTTATTGGTAAAAGCCACTTTAAATATTTGTAACATGCAGGTATCTTGATAATACATTCTAGACAAAAACAGTTGAACATGGAGCTTGACATTTAGCAACAGTCTGGTGAATGCATAACACTTGGACGTGAAGTCTGAATGATTCTGAAAGTGAATGCTTCTTGCTGCTGATGTTTGAATATTTAGTGGCGAGCAGTGGGATCAATTTGTTGGAGAGAGCAAACATAGAGGCATCACCCTGGGAAGTCAGGATAAACTAAGTTTTTCTTGCAGTTCAGCTGAACACACTGTCTCAGGGACTGAATGATCCGAGGGGAATTTATTAGAACGTGTGTGGTATGCAGAATTCCAGTGAAAGCGTGGGATTCTGACAGGTCTAAGAATCTCTAGTTAAATGTATCAATGGCTGCTGAGATGTATCCCTTATTGGAAATTCTATATAAGCCCAGAGCTGCAAATGGCTGGCTCAACCTTTTACCCTGTGGCTGTTTATCTCATGACCACTTATTTTCACTGGCAAGGAACTTGCTACAGTTTTCAGATAATTGGGAATCATCTGTTGTCTTCATATTGAACCTAAATCAATTTTCTGCCTTTTGAACTTACGTATTATCAGATTATTTCAGAGATAAACTCACCTACTGAGATATATATTCACATACTAATGTTAAAGGCAAAACTGTGAAATGCCTATCATCCAAACTCAGACCCACCTCAATTGTATCTGATCTTCCAGAAGAGAAGAGATTTGGAGTTTGGGATAGACACTCAGAGTTCCAGAGAGAAAGAATGTAACACACAGGAGAGTCGCTCTAGAAATACCAGGTGTTTACAGAGTGGCTACAATGTAGACACAGGAAGGAATTACTGAAGCAACTACCATGCAGTTAAACAGGGCGGGGCCTGTGAACCCATGGTAAGGACTGACTGGGAGGAGAAATAACTAAGCCACTTGAGGGGTTATGAATATTCCGATGCTTGACGCCATTTAGCCATAATATCATGATGAATATGCATAATGTCCCCCTTCACTTTTATTTAGCGTTTTAGATGCAATATTCTCATAGCCACAATCAGCTTCAATCTGCTTCCAAAACCATTTCTAAGATGTTTCCACGGTGTTACCCAAATCAGTCGTGTGAAACATTTACTTCAAATTGTGACCAAATTTGGTTGTGCCAGGATTTTAAAATGCAGTGGCAGGAGATGGGAACCTTAAAGACAAGGAGGACTTAAGAATGACAGCTGAGAAGTAGATATTATTTTGAAGAGGAAATGTACTTACATTTTGCTGCAAGTGAAATGTCTGTCTTTGAAGGGTAGCCTCTGTAATAAAGAGAGAAGAACGTTGAAGAAATTGTACAGTAACTAATTCAAATGGTGTGTGTGTGTGTGTGTGTGTGTGTGTGTGAAACCACATTGAATTGCCTTTGAAGGTATAACCACTGATAGAAAAATAATGAGGACTCTAAAGATGAAAACTTATTTATCAGGAGGCTCTTCTCAGGGAACAAGAAGCTGGAACCCACAGAGGATGTATTTAAGTCAACCCTCATCTCTCCTTGCATACTCAGTTTGCGACTCCTGAGCATCCTTGAATGCTGATTCTTTCTTTGCCTCCTAGGACCATCGATCCTGCAAGAGGGACTAGGAGGCATCTGACTGAGTAGGTCACCAGCTTAGATGCAAGCGGTCTCTTGTTTCTGGTTCATATTGACATTCTACCTTGTTTTTGAAGGCCCAGTTCTGACACATTGTTCCATTAAAAGAAAGGCCTCCAAAAAAAAGTCATAATTTTCTCAATTCATGCTTATTGGGATAAGTGGACAGTTTTCTCTTCCAAGAAATAAAAAGCATTTGTGGGGCCGCTGAAGGGGGACTGCGGTGGATGCCAGGTTTCTTTAAGATGGCAATGAAAAGGGAAAACAATTAAGCTACATGTCTGCTTAGAAGAGATTTGCCAAGTGTGCGGGCAATTTGTTCAGTGTGGCAGCCCTTCAGACACTTCAGCTTGCTTCCAAGTCTATTTTTTAAAAATCAGCTTGGTTATATCCAGAGGAGTACTTTTTAGGGTAGCAGGTTTCATGGGCAATGGCAGCCATGATCCCCATGGCTCCCTCCCAACAGACTCTATACATTCTGAGACTTGAGTGGATCCAGGACATATCTTAGACTGAACATTCATGTCATTCAAGGGTCCTCAGACCCTCACAAAGCTCTCACCATTGACACTGATGTGGAGAAGTCTGATTAGTCACTATGTGAGTAATACATTTCCAACCTCTGCAATTTGTATATATCCCCCTCCTCTCTCCCTCTCCTCCCCTCTCTGTGTGTGTATTTGGGGGTGCATACATGTAATGGCAAGTAAAGGAGTGCCTGTTGCCCGTGTGCACACATGTGGAGGCCAGAGGAAAACTTCTAAGACTTCTATTATCTTCCACTTATCTTTCCCCGATTATTCCCTCAACACAGGGTCTCGCACTGATCTAGCAACTTCTGTTTTCCCTAGTCTGGCAGGCCAGTGAGCTCCTGAGATCTGCCAGGCACACAAGACCATTGCCTGTCTTTTAAATGAATGTTGGAGAAGAGAATGCATGTCCTCATGCTTGTTACCAGCTGAGCCATCCCGTCAGCCCTGACCTCTGTCATCTTTCTAAAGAGCAGAGTAACTTTTAGAGGCTACCTCAATGCTCAGTGATGGACCAAAAACAACAGTGCTATCTCAAAGAACTATTCTAAGAGTTAAAATGGATAATAAATGCAAAAGAGTTACATAAAATGGTGGATACCATAGTTTGGACTTAGAATGTCCCAGGCCCCAAACCTCAGCTTTTAAGTGGTTGTCCCCAGCTTAGCACTATTGCTAAGTGACAGAAGTGGAATTCAGTAGAAGGTCTTTAGGTGTCCTGAAAGGGGACAGGAGAGCTCTGATCCCTTCCTTTATATCTCCTTTGCTTCCTGGCCATGAGAGGCATGGTTTTCCCCTCTACCATGGCTTCTACCACAGTGTGTTGTCAGGAGCCCAAAGCAATGGGACAACCAGGCATGAAGTAAAGCCTCTAAATCTCTGAGCCAAAACAACACTTTTGTCCTTTGTAAGTTGATTAGACCAGATGTTTGTTACAGTTTCAGGAAGCTGACTAGCGCATTAAAGACTTGCTAAATATTAATCGGCATTGTTACTGTTATTGGAGGCCATGTTGGAAAACAAAGAAATAGGGCCCAGGAAGGTTGCAGTTCAGTTATTCTTACTTAGGTAACATATTTCCACGATTGAGTGTCAGAATCATCCTAAATGTCTTTCCCAGGTTAGTTTATCAGAACTTTATTTCTGTGAGCTGAGTATAATGCAACCAGTATCTACATTAGAAAATCCTTTAATATTTTAGCAAGCCACCTAATCCTTTATTACTTTCCACGGAGAGGGAGCTCAAAACTGTCAAATTACTAAGCTGCTGACCACATGAAGAATGGGGATAATTGCTGTCTATGCAGGCAAGTGATATATTTTTATTGGCTGAATTTTGTAGTGGCCCTGTAATATAATGTGCATGCCACTAACTGGAAGGACTTACAGATGCGTCTCTCTTCCCAGGCTGGCACATGCTCCCCTACCTCTTGTCTTTCTAAATATAAATGTGTATTGAAAATTCAAAAATTGTGTCCTCATGAGTTCCTTTGAGGAACTGGTTGCTAAGAAACAAATTTAGAACTCTCTTACCTACCAAGAAAAGTTTTTACTATTTCCTTAGATAATTGGCTCTTTAGTCATGAAAGTATGAACAAAGAAAATTGTCTGCTATTTCAAAGATTCAATGGACAAGGACTCTTCATTTGGGCAACAATTTTGTACGACATCATTGATTACTTTAAACACTATTCAAAGCTGTCCTCAAGAGAGCATTGTGTAGCTACCTAATGTGGTGGTACCCATCATTTTCCTTGGGGTACAGAATAAGTGAACAGAGACTACACAGCTATGCAAAACCTCATCTTTGCTTTTTTTTTTTAAGGCTTATTTCCACCACAGACAAAGGAGAAAGAGGGCTCTTATGATGAACTAACTCATTCACTGATCTGCTGAGTACCACTGTGTGCAGGACACATTGCTGGCTCCTAATCATGTATCTCATCATTTCTAAAAAGATATCTGTCTGATTCTAGAGACTACCAGACAGTTTGGAGAGACCCCATGACAACGTGATTCAGAGTTACAGTAATGGCTGTTGAGGGGGAAGGTGGGGACCTGGTTTAGAAAGAGAAATTCACATTTAATAATGGTAACTTGTAAGAGTCCTGAGTGCTTACTGCATCATGAACTGCCTAAATGCTTTTACATAGTAAGTTTGTTCCTGAGAACCCAAGGGGATTTGGTTCCCACTCCTGAGGAGGAGGGAAGAAGGCAGGTGTAGGTGTGTGTGTGTGTGTGTGTGTGTGTGTGTGTGTGTGTGTTTGCAGAAGGGGGTGTCATATACCAAGCAAAAGTCTATCATCAAGGCCAAGTAGTCTAGGCAAGAGGAATTGGCTCCTTTGAGAGACTAAACCCAAGGCTGCCATTTGCAATATTTGTCACATACTTCAGAGATTCCAAGACTGTGAATTTTGAGATGAAGCAGCTCTTACCTTCTATGATGAATATTCAACTAATTTTTCTCTGTTTTATGCTCATTTTACTTATTTGCTTGAGGCTGTGGTAGGAGTAGTTATTTTAGATTTCATTTATTCCCAGGAGTGCTGGGGAGCAATGTATTAAATGATTTGGTAACTCAACAATGAATTGATGAAGTTTTATTCAAGGGAAAATATTGCTAATTATCAGATAAGGCTTTATGAATGGTGGGTGACCTTTGCATTCTGATAAAATAATCTTTAAATAGAACTTGACATTTCAGTGCTGGGCTGTAGCTCAGTGGCAGACCATTTGCCCAGCATGCATGAAGTGCTAGATTCTGACCTAATACTTCCAAAAAAACAAAAACCACCTGGCCTTTTACATGGAAAGCATTGGGATCTGATGTCCGAGTCCAAGTGCCTTAGTCTAAAGTCCCTTCTGAGAACATTCCAGTCTCTGCAATTCTACCAAGCAACATGGCGACCTGTAGCCAGTTAGTTGACCTAAGTTTGGATGACTTCATTCTTAAAATGGGAATAAGAGCAGCTCTGGACTTCCCCTGGCTACTATGTTTATTGGAAGACTTAATGGACATAAGGAACAGGGCAAGCACCTGGGTCATCCTAAGTGCTTGATATACCAATAGTTACAAATGACGTTAGTAAGCCCCAACTGAGCTGGTACCATCCAAAGAACTGTACCCTCTATGTGGACAAAAAGGTTCTGCTCTTGTTCCTTAAATAGCCATAGGCAGGCACCTACCTTCCCAGCCTTTCATCTCAGACTTTGGGTCCAGTATTGACATGCCACAGGCTCAACTTGAGAAAGTCCTGTCAGCTTGGTTGCTGAGACTCTTCACACACAGTAGCATTTTAGTTCACAGTCCACTACTCCATCCCTGCTGGTGTTTAAAGAATTTTCTAAGCATTTCCAATGGCCTCTCTTATGGCATTGGAATTTGGCTATTTTTCCTCAGAGTCTCAGCACTGGTGTCTCTGCCCAGACCTGGGTGGGCGTTCCACTGCCTTGCTGTGTTTACTTATAAATGGTTTCTTGTGTTTTGATTTCTTTCTGGCTTCTTAACAGTTAAAGTGTTTTTAATTGAAATAAACAATTTTCATTTCGGAAAGTTCATTTTGGAACCTGCCGAAAGCACTAAAGTGAGGCAAGGGAGCTCAGAACAGCACAGGTTTATTTTGATGTATATAAAGCAGCAAGTGCTTTACTTCATCAGGTCTCACATCTAAGAGACAGACATGATTCAGGGTGCATCTGGGCATCATTCTTAATGGCCTATGCTTATCAGAGTAAGCATGTGAGTGAATGTGTGTGCACACACTTCCCCACACCTCTTTACATGTGCAAATCTCTATCATTCAAGTGTTTTCAATGAAAATAAGATAATGCAGTATTTTTATATAACATGTTTTTATTGTTTTTAAAAAGATGTATTTTATTTTCAATTATGTAATCTATGTGGGTGACTATGTGTGAGTATGCACAAATGTGTACAGGTACCTGCAGAGGCCAGGAGAGGGTACTAGATGCCTGGAGCTGGAGTTACAGGTGGTTGTGAGCCACCCAGTGTGGGTGCTGGGAATCTAACCCTGGCCCTCTACAAGTGTTCTTAATTGCTGACCCTTTCTCCAGACTCACATTTATTCTTTAATTCTACTTTTGTGGACATAAGTCACTACATAGCAGATGTTTC